AAGAAAAAATGGCGAGCTGTACACACCTCGAGGAGAAGGATCTTCAATCCTGTTGCCTGTGTGTTTGCCTGTGTTCTTGTCTGTGGAGAACGCCAATGCTCGAGCTTCCATCACCGCCACTATGATAGAAGTAAAGTAATATAAAAATGGATTTCGAAGGAATATATGAGCTCGCGAATCTAGGATTGCTTTCGTCACGGCTTCGGAAGCGAACCACCCATCCTGCTGATTGGGTCTGCAAAGCAAAGTGGAGAGAAAAGAATCGGCGTGATGATTTTGCAAGCCATAGTCAGAGAAGGCGCTCAAGAGTCGCAGTATTTCTGCTCGATTCGTATGACCAGATGCACATGCCGAGCTGAAATGGTTTCACTGTTTGACCTTCGCCGTGTTTAGTGGGATAGAACTCATTCGATCTGGTATAAGTGAAATCTTCTTTCCTTGGGCTTTCCCCTTGTTTCTTCCTCCAATATTTTGGCCTTATTTCACGTTGTTGTTCTTATATGATCACAATTCCAGTTTTTCTTCCTTCTTTTTGATCTTTCGCATTGCTTTTGTTTGGTTTGGTTCATATGCTTCTTTGCTGTTTATCAAACTTCTTTGCACAGATCGTTCAGAACTCTTTAGGTACAAGGGTTGTTTACTTGGAGAACACTGGAATTATACTGAGTTGAAGTCTAGGCTCTAGGAATTTTCTAGTGCCAAAAGCCAAAATCTTGTGTGAAAACAATAGAAAACAAAAGACAAAATCAAACAGGCCTTGATGACCAGTTGCTTCTACTCTTTTCTTCATTCCCATTTACATTAAAGTGCATGAAGAAAAATCAAACTTGGCAAGAAACAGATTTATGCTGTAATTATAGAGAGATACTTCTTTTAAGTTACAACAAGAAAATCCATCCTCAAATTGATCTATGTAGATTTGAGGTGACGAGAAGTTCTCTTAGAGAAATTGAAAAAAACGTACAAATAGATTTTTAACAATCAATACATATTATTAGTTAAGGTTCTACTCCTTATGATAAAGGTGATTCCATATTTGTACATCTTTTGGTTTGTTTTTGTCCATTGGAGTGCAAAAAATAAATGCATACCATTTACATGCCATGGAACTCTATAGTAGGCATGATGCATGATATTGTGAGCATAGTTAGGATAAATTTCTATACACATAATCATATATATACTACAAGAATTACTGAAATTCCACTTAATTTCGGCTTTGTGTTCGTCTTTTGGAGTAAATGAATACTTATCAAACAAAATGCCTCCAAGACATCACAGCCAACATCAAGCATGATGTGAACATGCTTCCCCCATAACATATTTGGATGACTCTGCAAACATTTACTCCATTAAGTTAAGTTAGTAATAAAGAATAAAAACTTGCAATCTCGATAAAATCAATGCTGAGTTCCTTGTTTGTCCATTTGCAAACTGGCTAAAGCTTTAGCCTAAACATTTATGCATATAAGCTTATTCATGCAACAAGATTTTTTCTAAATCTTCCCGTCCAATAATTAGCTCCAAAAGAACAGCCCCAAATGTCCAACTTAAGTCCTATCATGGGATGCTTGGGTGCACAATATCCATAAGTTGGCACTAAATAGGTTCAAACGTGTGTTTTGTGTGTGATTGGACTCAGCTTTGCAAGACCAATATTTGGAAGCTTGGGATGATACTGTTTTTGAGTAAGATTTGAAATCCCAATAGATTACTGGAGGATTTTCTTTGGCATACAAGTACTTTAATCCTTTGGGAGCTCTTGTATTTTCATCTTTGCAATCCAACCCAACAATTCTGGCTAGCACATCTGCATGTAAAGCTTACTTAGTTTTAGATGTAGGAAACAATATACAAGCTATGTAAGTGATCTTCTAGGCTCCCAAGCTGCATAAACTTGTATCTACGAAGCCTTTGATGGCCATGAAAACAATAACTGATTAATTTGAATTCAGCCAAAGCCTCTTTCACTGGTGGTGTTTTCTTCTCGATTGCCTAACTCTTGAATGTTTGACTCCACCCATACAACTATCATGTCGACTAAGTAGGGGCAGCCTTGCTCAATAGCAAGCAAAGAAAAACAACAAGAGGTTCTCTCATGAAGCAAGCTTGTTTGTCTTGCTTGAGTAGCTCATATCGCTAGAACTTGATACTAGAAATGTCCTTCCTCAACGATTGTAAGTCCTCTTGTATTTGAGAAACAAGATGATTAGCATTTTCACATCTTGCAAATCTGTAGTCATTGGTATTCAAAATGACTCATAACAATATTCTATCTAGATCTCTGCAAGAACTATTTCGCTCAACAAGACCAGAAAAGAATTGAGCTCTTTTAGTGTTTAACTCACTACAGAAAAAACTGAATCATGCTATAGTAGGTTGTTGAGTTAGAAACACTAAATCTTGGCATCTCACCCACATTTGATTGCTTGGACAATTGGTTCCAAATTTTTTTAGCCTTCTCACAGTTCCTAAGGCAATCCAAGTGCTGCTCTATTCCTCAAACCACGGGCCAAGAGGTAGTCGCCTCACACTTCAAATAAAAAAGAATCTAAACCTATGTCGTGTCGCAACTTTTAATCCTCGGCAGAGAAGGTCGGCGTCCAGACCTCGTCTCGAGAGGCTTCGTCGCGCAGGAGCTGGGCGCCTTGAGTTTCCAGCAGGACAGCCTCTCCACCATTCAGGTCCAGCATTGACCTGTGGAGGCTCTCGACCATAGATGCGATCAAAGGAATGTATGGAAAACCACGACCTCACCAAAGTATAGCCTTGTCTTTGCTGATCGATAGCGATTGCCTAAACACAATCCCGAGCTAGAAGAAAAACAAAAGTTTGGTAGCGTGCGAGTGACGAGTGACGGGCTTCTCTTTGGCATTACTGGAGAGTAACATGACATAGAGACTCGCTAGCACATAGAGGCAAACCAAGAGCTTGGCGGTTAGTTCGCGGAGCTGCGATTCCTTGCGCGCGATGCGTCTGTTTTGGATTTGGAGTTCGTTCCTTGCCTTTCGCTCCTGTGTGTTTAAAGAGGAAAAAATAACATCTAAACACATTTTCCTTAGCAGCTAGAGGCATAAAACCACAATGAATGTCAATAAGATTGTGTTGACAGTTCACTCGTGAGTACGGCACCTTATACTACATTGCCTAGTTAGTTAGTTTCTGAACTTGTGGCTGACAAGAGAATAGCAACCTATTCTTCTATATAAAATAATATTGATGGCTGTGAGCTCCATAACCTTGCACCTTGACCAATTATTCCAATGCTTACCTCCGGCTAGAATTACTTGAGCTTTTATCTTGCAGTCAACTACAACTTTATGGATCAAAGAGGAAATATTATCTTTAAGAACTTGTCATTTATTTGTGAAGGTTTCTTACAATAAAACCCATGCATGTGAATGCTTGGAATGGTGTTTTTCTTTTGTTCTCTAATCAGAATAGCATTTGGTTTAAAAACATTTTACAATAAGAAAATTCTAAGAAAAAAATATGTTATAAAATATTCAAAAGTTTATCAAGATATTAATTTGTATTATTAAAGCAAACCAAGCCTTGCTACTACTAAGCAAAACAAATTATTTTCTTTGATTTCTACCAATCTTGATCTTCAAAAATCAAATTATTCCCAGTGGATTTATTTCTTTGATCTTTTCCAAACCTCTCCTAAATTCTGAACTTTATTGAAAAATAAAGGCTAAAAAAGAATTAAACAAATGCAAAAGAATGTTTTTTTTTACGGAAATGAACAAGCGCGAGTATATACTGCAGGGAGTTCTTCCTCTAGAGTCGCACTCTCACCCTGCAATTCCTTTCCAAGAGCCCCGCCCCGTCTGGGCGGACAACAACACTGCAGTGGCTCCTCACCTTGACTCGCGGCGACTTTAGCGCGCCGATCTTGACCCTAGCCTTGACCCTCACGCGAACGTCCAGAGGGACGCGATTCTGGGCGATATCGTTCCTCAAGCTCGTCGCCAGCTCCTGGGTTAGGGGCAGATCCGTGGTGGTGAGATTGCTCCTCAGGAACCTGACATCGCGGTGGCCCTGGTAGAACGGATCGATGGAGCTCTCCCCGACTTGCAATCCCGCGTAGTAGAGGTAGATCGCGACCCGGTCGTAGTAGATCCCGATCCTCCGGTTTGGGTTCTCGGCGCGCACCGTGAAGGAGACGATGGCATCCAGCAGCGGCGGATTGGAATCGGTGGAGATCGTGAACACCGGTGACACGTCCTGGACGTTGTAGCTGGGCGATCGCACTGGGCGGATGACGAGCCAGAAGACGAGCGCGGTGATGCCCAGGAGGATCACGATGATGACGACGAGGGCGAGCAGCCAGCAGAGACAGCGGCAGAGGCCGCCACAGCAGCGGCGCGATCGCCGCCTTGCCGGCGGGACGTAGGCGGCGGGATGGGGCGGGAAGAGCTGATCGGGGATCTTCTGCTGGTACGCTCCATTGAGACGCTTGGATTCCTCGAGGATCGGGGCGGAGGGCGATGCCGCGGGATGGATTCGATCCGTCATTCCTGCAAGAATTCGATCAATTCCACCCTATTTCCCCACTGATCGATCGAGTGATCGTTGGATGGATGGAATGCGTGAAGAATCTAACACGAAACTAGCGCTGCGCTAACTAGAACCGATCGATCGCGCGACGAGGGAATCGTGAATATGGGGGAATGGAAGATGAAAGGACGGGAATCACTGTGGTTAAATGCCGACCCCGGAACGAGTGGAGAGAAAAAGAAGGCGCAATTTCGTCAAGGCGCGGGCAAAATGGACTTTGCCGAATTTTAATTTGCGTTAGGTTCCTCTTCCTTTCATAGGAGAAGTTTCTACTTGTTTTAACTCTTTGGCAGTGTGTCGGTTACACACGGTGAAAGTACGTGCACGCGCGTTTGTGTTTGACAACGTTTCTCTCACGCGATTAAAAGAAAGATCTAGTGGCTTTCTCATTTACCATCGCTGACCGAGTCAAAATGAGTCAAGACCCGGTCAATCGACTTGCTAGAGCCCTAATTTTTTATTTTGGTCCTGTGTGATGGGCATGGAGGAGCGGCGACACCCGATACCCCCGATTGTGGCCGAGGAGGTACTCACGCATCGATTTCCAGAGGTATTCCAGCTGAAATTTCACCAGAATTTTGTCTGATCGCGTCCTTGGCAGGATGATCTGAGTTACACCGAGAAGTATGACGAAATCGCGCTTCTTTCTCCTAAATTTCGTTGTTCTTTGGGTCAGGGATGTGGCGCTCTATGCGTTAGGCGTCGGCGCGGCGGCGGTAGATCCGATTGATCCCGTGGAGCTTTCCTATGTCTATCATCCGAATGGCCAGAAGTTTATCAAGGCAAGGGAAGTTTTTTTCTTCTTCTCATTGACAATTAGAGGTTATCACGCGCAGGTTCTTCCCACGTTTTCAGTACTTTTCAATAACAGGCTTGTGGGAACTTTTGGTGATATTCGCGGCCTCAAGTAAGTTGTAAGTTCCATCTCTCGTTTTCCTTGACTTTAGCCTGGAAAAAAATGTATATAATTTGCAGCTTTGATCCGAAGCTACTGTTGCACGGTGAACAGTATGTGGAGATTTACAAACCTCTTCCAACGAGTGCACGGGTAAGGTTTCTCCTTTCTCTTTTTCCTTTTATGTCCGAGTGTCTCTATCTCAGGTTCGTAGCAGCAAACGAATTTCGGGTCTTCACGACAAAGGTACGACTGTTTCGTTTTTCATGCGCAAAAATGATAGGCCTGAGCGTCACTTTTATAGGGAAAGCCGCGTTAATTGAAATGGAACTCTTGCACCGAGACATCGATACCGGGGAACTGCTATGTCTGCAAAGGTGCTGTAGCTTTTGTCCCATTGGAGAGTAGGCCTAGCGCTAAGTCAACAATTTTGCAGGACTTTGGCATTTTTACGCGGTGCTGGCGGATTCTCGGCAGGTCCTGGAAACCCGTTCTCCTTCTCGTCGCGAACATCGTCGCAGTTTCCAGCCATCAGTTTCAATGAGAAAGAATTCGACGCAACTCCTCCAGACTTCGAGTTTGAAGATCAAATCAGGCCGAACCAGGTAACGAGAGATTAATTTTCTTTTTTGGTTTTTCCTTTTAGAGCGTAAAAGTTACTCGTCCGTGATGTAGGCGTTACTTTACCGTCTTTCAGGAGACATGAATCCCTTGCATTCGGACCCAAAGTTCGCCGCAGATGCGGGGTAAGCGTTGTTCTTGCGAATGACGTCTGTGACGGGATTTAAAAACACAGCTTCCAGCGTCCCATTCTTCATGGGCTTTGCACGCTCGGCTATGCCGTGCGAGCTATAATTCGGTGCTGCTGCGACGGCGATCCGACGAGAATTGCGACGATCAGCTCCAGGTTCCTGCACCACGTCTATCCGGGCGAAACGCTCGTAACATTGATGAAGAAAGAACAAGGCGAGAGCTCGCAGTAAGCGCAATCGTTTCTAAACCATCCCCGTAACGCTTGCTTCTTCTTTCAGGATCTCCTTCAAGTGCAAAGTTAAAGAGAGAGGCAAAGTCGTCCTATCCGGGACAGTGTTCTTGAGAAACAACACCATACACCACTCTAAACTGTAATCGTATCTCTTTTTCTCTATTTTTGTTCTGTTTACGTAACAAAAGTTTTAAATTTAAAGAACATTACATCTATAATCTCACCACCTTTATAACATTGGGACGATCTTGTTCTAACAATAGTTGAATCTCTTTTCTCTAGTTTCGAACAACATGCAATGATTCAAAGAAGCCACCTTTTTAACATTGGAACATTCTCGTTCTAAAGTTTAGGGTGAGCTGCGCAACAAAGGAAGTCGTTGCTACGGGGCTGCCAAGGTTGTAAGCGCTCGCGACCGCTTCCCAGTCGTTGACGAATCTATCCGCGAGAGGCGTATTGATCTGCCCTTGCTGCTTATACAGTATAAACTCGTACTTGTGCTGCATGAAATCGTGCGGTGCAGGCCTCATATACTCCTCCAAAATTGTGCCAGCGTCAACCTTTGATCCAGGGATGTTGGTGATCCAATAGTGGACGTACGTGAATTGATCTGCCAATGTAAACATCGACCGCGAAGCTCGCCTATCTATCATCACGATGGAGTAAAGCTGCGCAGGATCAACATCTCCTGGGACCATAACGTTGGGATGAATCGCGGTTTGCGGGCACGTCAAAAGGGTTCCATCGGCGAAGGTATCCTTTCCTGTGTAAGAAACAGCTATAGAGATCGATTTCTCCACTGCTAGAGATCCTGGCGATGGAGATCGTGGTGGAGTAGATGCTAACAATCGCGAAGAAGTAGCTCCTGCAAAGAATATAGCCAAGAAAGCAACTGCCACAAGCTTCCTCATTGATCCTTTGTTGTGTTGTGATCACTTTGATACCTAGATTTATATAGTGATTTACCTTTTAACATAGGGTTTATGTATTCCTTTTTGGCACCTAGACTAATTTTTCTTTCTTAATGGTACCCTTTTGTTTATCTAGTCCTAACCTAAATTCCGCTTTCTTAATGGTACCTTTTTGTTTATCTAGTCGTAACCTAAATTCTGCTTTCTTAATGGTACCCTTTTGTTTATCTAGTCCTAGCCTAAATTCTGCTGTTACGTTTCAAACACGCCGCGTTAAAGAAAAGAGAGAGGGGGAATATGCCTCACGTGGAATGCATGCTTTGCAAGAGGCTCCTCTCAGGTTGGAGTCGCTGGTGGGGAGCGCAGCAGCACCTCCGGGACAAGGAGCGCCGCCTCCAAGCGGTGGCGTGCCAGGCCAAATTCCTGCGTGCCTGGGACCAGGTCACCCTCGATTTGCCACTGTTGACGCTCAAGGCGTGTGATGGGCCGGATGTGTGCGTGCACAAGGCAATCCTGGTAAGCGATCTTTCTCTAAAACGCTAGCACTAGTTCCATCCATTGGCGTCTAGTTTATTTCTTTCTTTTGCTTGATTGTTTTTCGTGATCTTTCTGGAAGCAAAATAGGAACTAATGAAATTGCCAGACAGTATATAAACTGACTATGATTTTGTAATTTTGATTATATTGACTACACTGTAGTATTTTGCCCTAAAATTCAGAAGATCTGTAGATGTGCTTGATGTGGCTCTCCAGCACATCTGGAGGACACTTTCTGTCTAATTGATTTTGGTGCCAACATTGTTGTCAAGATCTAGTGAGTTTTGTAGATTGTGAATTAGAAGCAATAGTGGTTGCGATCTAGGTGGAAGATCATGATGGAGAATTAATCACAATAGCAAATCTAATATCAAATTGTGAAGTAGCAATAACACATAGGGAGTTAGAGGAGTTCTGTGAAGAGCTTCAATCTGAGCTAAGTGAAGCCTTAAATTCAGATTATGATCTAGAGGTTGGGAAAGCCATAGCAACACATGGGGAGTGAGACCAACTGGGCATAAAGCTTTAATTTGAGCTAGATGGAGCCTTAAATTTAGATTATGATCCAAAGTTTGGTGAAGTCATAACAAGACACTAGGAGTTAAAGGAAAGAGCTTTAATTTTAGATTATGTTCCAAAGTTTGATAGAGCCACAGCAACACACTAGGAGTTAAAGGAGCTAAGTAGAAAACTTAAATTTGAGAGGACTATCATCCAAATGCAAGCAATGGATGAATAAAACTTTTCATTAGCTGCATAAGAAGGCATTCTACAAAATTCTGAAGGTGTATCTTTAAAGAGACTATTATTGAGATAGAATGGTATCCATGTCAAGGTACCATTACAATGAAGGTAACTTTATGTTTCATAATTTTCCATTAGCTAAGCAGCTGAATTTACTAATATCAAGTGTATCGTCTTACTATAAATACCTTCGCTTGTGGAGAAAATGAAATGAATGGTTTGAAGGAATTTTATCAATGATCAAGGAATTCTAGCACAACAGTAAGTTTTGGCAGAGCTATAGATTTTAGGATTTAAATTCATCTTTTGGATCAATTAAGATAATGTATCATTCAACTTTCTATCTTTTTTTCTAAAGGTTCTTTTTCACTCAGGGTGATTCTTGCCAATATATATTGATTCTACATTGTCGGTGTCGAGGGGAGATGATCCATAGTACCCCAACCGATGGTTATCAAAGCTCAAAGACCATTCATCACTCTTATATTGTTATAAAAGTTGAATTTTATGATGGATAATAGATGGATGGTGTTAAACCATTACTTATAATATTGCCTTTTGGTTGATAAACTGGAAAATTATTTATATGTCTTAGTTGAAGTAGTTTGTCATGGAGCTTGTATTCAAAGGTTAAATTTGTGTTGTGGTGAAACTCAAATAAAAGACAATGATGTAAAATATCTGAGATTAGAAGGAAGAATTTTTCTATGGGCAAAAGAAGTAGATGGTGTTTCCTATAACTTTGAGCTAAAAATAATAAACCATATAAAACTAAATACAAAGAAAGGAATTGCATACCTCATTTCTAATAAACTTAAAATAATTCCCTTAAAAATAAAAAATATGGCCTTTAATGTTATGATCCGGTGCAAAAAGACAAAGATCTAGTTGCCCTAGACTATGCTACGCCACCTCTTGAGGTTCCTCACCACCCAACCACCCCCGAGCTACCTCAAAAGCTCCACTGCACCGCCGCTCCACTGTGAGCCCTAGGGTAGGTTAAGTCCCTTACCCTAACATGCCTTAATATACCCTTGAGCCTCCCTTTGACCGACGTTGACCACGTAGTCAAAGCTGGCGCCTAACAATTCTTCCCCCCCAACAAAGTCCTTGTCCCAAGGATGAGTTGTACTGGTGATCACCCTTTCTAGGGAATCCTGCTCAAGCTCCTGGTCCATCTTCCACAGCCGTATACATTAAGGAGGCATTGGGCCCGTCACTCCGAGATAGTACACCTTTCAACTGGCTGACATAAAATACCAGATGAATTTTCACCCCAGCTGGCAGCCGCACCCGATAAGCCGTTTTACCAATGCGCTCCAGCACTTCATATGGACTAGCATATCGATGGGAGAGTTTATCACTCTTCCCTATCCGTAAAGGCACCAAGGTGTTCCGCCACTCACTTGACGGAAAGATCACTTGCACGAAGACGAGATCACCCACCTTATATTCCCGGAATTGGCGATGCTCATTAAAGCTCTATTTCGTTAAAGTGGGAATTGTCATTATCCCACTTGTAAAATAAGGTTTCCAAACCTTTATATAGTATATAAATATAACAAAATTCAACTGCATTGAGGCACATGCCATTTTATTTTAAACAAGGAAATGTCTACTCAATCACTTCTCCTCCCCCTGCCACTGCTTCACCTCTCTCTTCTCCTTGTCATCGTCGTCTAATTTCTTTCCATCCTTTTAATATTGGCTCAGTTGCTCCGAGTCTAGGTGGAGCCCAAGTCCCCATTCAATCTTTACTTTCCCCTTATTAATAAAACAACTTCGTAAACTTCCAATAACATGCTGTAACACTTCTAGTATAATGCAAATCCTCTCAAAGAATTGTCTTTTAATATTAATACAATGGCATGGAACCCCATGCCATAATAAGTTACATTTTTAAATAAATACATGCCATCTCAGATTGTTATTTTTTGCCTCCAACACCTATACAATAATCTTGGAATTTCATCACTCTCCACACTATCAAGATTTAAACCCAATAGTAATGCCATCTCTTCTCTAATACGTCCACGCTCATGTTCAGTGGTCGAAGAATCCATCCGGTTGAGCAGATTATGGAGATGCGGATAGTGCTTGACTAGACAATATACATGCCATAAATGATGACTGGTGTCTGTCCGATCAAATGGTTTCTAATATACCATTCCATCTGCCATTTGGTTGATTTCTGCAGCCACCTCCTGGACTGGCCGGTTCTCTATCACCATCGCTCCAAGCCGTTTTGCAAGGTCCCCCAGAACATACAGTTTCTTCTCCCTAGTTTCCATATTGCAAGAGATGGGGTGCACTGCATATGTGTGCGTGTTCGCTGCAGTTTTAATTGGTGAGTCATCGATGATGAGGATTTCACTTGACCTAGCAGTCCGGTTCATCACTACAGCCTCTGGCTTGACGAAGATGGGCTTGCTACCCCTCACATGGACCATAGTCAAGCAATCCTCCTGCGTTAGGAGAAAGTCAAATGGTAATATTACTCGCGTCTGATCGTGCATCATCTGTAGCAACGTTAATGCATTGTGGCGCATCATGGATGTCCAAACTCCCAATTGCAAATTGAACCCGGCCCTTTGTTTTAAGTGTCGCATGGTCATTATTAGATCCCGCAGTTTGTCCCGTGTGATTAATGTGAATCTATCTCTTTTGACCAACTTGCGACCGCAGGCTTTGGAGGGTGCAGTGACATTCGAGGACGAGCCACGCTCATGGGAGAAAAGGACACCGTTCAGATCAAAAACGATACAGTACCTTCGCCGTGACTTTGAAATGAAATGCGTCAGCATAAAAAATGGTACAAGTCAATTTTACCATCTACAATATTAGCGAATGGTGCTCCCGATGGTCATTGAGAGGGTTTTGGTCAAGGAAATATGAAGGGCGGAAATACTCTCCTCTGCAATGTGGGGTCAATCGCATCCGATGGCGTGTGGGCACATGCCATTTCAGCTGTAGACTCTGGTACAACTGGCTCAACAGTGGCATGGGGTGGTTCCGATGGTGTG